TTCAAATGTATGGTATAGTTTTATTCTCATTACTAGTGACAGGTAATAGCCACACAAAACATGGAACATATGGTCACCTATTGCTTTCGAGCCCACAGCAATGCGCTTTTCCAGGTTGTTATCTGTCATTTGACGTTTCTTTAAATTGATACATACATTTTCATGATTCTTGCTAGCCATTGTGTTTCTGGATTAGGGCACTATTTTTGTATTTTATGCTTGTGTGTTTGTCATATATCATATGTGTGGTAATGAGATGGTTGTCTACTACAGGATTTGTTCTAAACATGTTAGTAAAACTCTTGTTCAGAAACATGGATGGAATATGTGGAGATCTTAGCATAAACCCTTTCCACTTAAAGTAAATTGCTGCTACAAAATGGAGCCTATTGAAGTGAAACTGCTGGTTGATTGTCACAACCCAAACCCGCCCCTATAGGTTTAGAATCGTAACCGGCCAGTAATCCTTGGATTACCAAAGGACTCTTAACAGAATAACTTATAAGTAGGGGTCTGCGGAAGCAAATACAAAATATACATAGTCCAATGAGCTGTGGAGACGTACATGGGGACAAAATTTAAAACTTTATACTCGTATGTGACGTTATAAAAGCATCAATCTTTCGTCACTTAAGCCATTTATACAAAATTTTCAAGCACACGTTCAATCCAGACATAAACATTTATGAGGCACAAAAGTTCCAAAACACAAAGGCTTGGACTGATCTCAAAAGAAACCTCCATGGGAGGCACGATGGCTAGCTGACACCAAAACTCCAGGCGGCAGCTTAGGCCTGGTCACGCGCCTGCTCACCTACATATATAATATAAATAGTGAGCAAAAACCTTGTAAATAATAACAGAGTAAAGGGTTTTAACGAATGATTTCCATACAGATTCAGAAATCATAATTTAGATTCATAACAGATTCGTATTCATATTCTTGTTCAGACCATATACAGAAATCAGAGTTCATGCTTAATTATACGTGGTACATCCATTAGTGCTAGCATAACAGATACAGAACAGATGCAGAACATATGGTGGTTATGAATAACCAGTTCCATAAAGGAACCTCCGAATCCGGGAAACAGAGAATATACATGCTAAGCTCCATGATGAAGCCTCCGGTACGGGTAACAGATGATAGACATAATAAGTCCCATAATAGGACCTCCGATACCGGGTAATAGCTAACAGATATCACATGATGCTAAGGATGCCACGAATACATTGTTAGAAATCAGACAGTCATTCATTATACAGAACATAACATTTCAGAAAACAGATCTTATTTCATTATTCAGAAAATAAATAAAGTGGAACATAGCTTTACTAAGTTATTACTCACAGTTAGCTTCGGGTGCAGACAGATAGAGCAGGCTAAGCAAATGGTCTACGGCACGTGACCTACATTAACACATAACAAATACACACTTGAAACACACGTTCAAATTGTACATAACTTATTGCACTTGTTCTTAGTGTGTTTCTACTCTTATTCTTATTATGGTGACTTAATCATGGCCTAAGAATGCCTAGGATGGAATGAGGATGCAAAAATTGCATTAGAAAACATTTTTCAAAGTTCGCTGAAAACAGGGTCCACGCTCGAGCGTGGCTTTCCTCGCTCAAGCGGACATGCAAAAAGTGAAGGTTCGCTCGAGCATGACTTCCTTAACTCGAGCGGACTGTAAACTCTTAAAAAAGTACTGGTTGCTTATTTTTCACGTTCGACGGACGCTCGATCTCCGCTCGAGCGTGAGACTCAGGCCCTTGCTCGAGCGTGACTTCTGTCACTCAAGCATGCTGCAAGATATATGAACTTCTGGATACATGCATTTCACGCTCGAGCGGGTATCATGTCGCTCGAGTGGAAGTGCACACATTCAGAGTGTTTCGCTCGAGCATGAACTCCTATGCTCGAGCGTAGATTCAAATTCTGAAATTTCCAGATTTGATCTCCAAGTTTCAAACTCAAACCAAACACTTCAAAACTCATCCTCTTGGGCCAAAATTCTGGAAAACATTTAGAAATTCACAAAACATCATGATTTAAAGATCATTTCATGAAATCAAGGCCCAAAAGCATACCAATTGTTCAAAAATTCAACCTAAACTTTATGAATTTTTATGAACATAATATGCATGAATTTCTTGATCTTGAGCTTCTCAAAACATGATCAAATGAACCTAATTATTATAAGTTATGATGAATTCCCAAAATCAAGTGAGACTTAGTACATGCATGAGGAAATTTTTTTGCAACAAGAATAAAACTCCAAGAAATACACATGCATGCATGGGATAATCATCTTTCTTACTTCTTTAACTCAATTCTCATGTTTAACCACTTAATCTTTTGAATTCCTCCACTAATGTCTAGAATGCAAAGCTTAAGAACAAATCCTCACCTAGAGTCTTCAATTCCTTGGGATTAAATAATGATTTGAGCAATTCTCCAATTTCCAAGCAAATTCCTACCAACTTCAAGGTTTGATCTCAATTCTTACCCTCTCTCTCTTTCTCCCACGCTTTCATCTCTTGGAGGCTTAAAGATGATATGAAAAAGAGGCTCAAGTGGGGTATATAAGCCTTATGTAGGCTTGAGTAGAAGTGTACTTAATTAAAATCAAGTATATGGACATTAAGTCAAACTAATTTAATCATTCCAAATCAAATTTCAATTGAATCTACCATAAAATTTTAAAAATTCTAATTAATACATAAATCAAGTCAATTTTTGAATCGGATGCCGATAAGGCTTTCAATTGGCAAAATATAGTAGAATCTCAAACAGATATTCCTACAATAAATAGATAGAAACACAAATAATGCACCACATATGCAATTAATTCAAAATCTGATCTTAATATCTTATTATGCATATTAAATCATGGATTATCATTAATCTTGGGTCGGGGTTATTACATTGATGAGGATGGGAAAAAGATTGGTCCTATATGCATTTAGTTGGCATAAGTAACAAATGCCAAATAGACAAGTGTGAAAAAGGAGAATGAAGTCAGGAAAAGATAAACATGAAGAAGCACTCTATCCTCTCTCCAGCATCGTCTTATTCCATTCATTGTGGATGTCCATGGTCTATGTGCTCTCATAATAAAGGCCAACCAATTCAAGTTGACATATTTGCATTGATTATGTTTTCCATCCAACCCATATATAGAAAACAAACAACATAACCATCCACCACATTACAGTCAGACTACACAATTAACTGATGACAAAAGTTTAAATGCTCTGTTGTGTTTCTACAAACATGGAGAAAAAAATTCTAAAATTGGTTCATATTTTGTTTCTCTATTTCAAAAAATGTTTATCCAACCTCAATTTGGAAGCAACCATTTTGTGGACAGTAGGTCCAATGAGTTAAAATAAATAAAAAATAAAAAAAGGAAAATTGGTAACAGATTTAAAAGAAAGAATTTTAAAAAAAAAGTTCAAATACGCTGTTGTGTTTCTGCTGGATTAGGCATATGGGACAAAAAAAATTCTAAAATTGGTTATATTTTGCTTCTCTATTTTAAAAAATGCTTATCCAACCTCAATCCGAAAGCAACTATTTTATGGACAGTAGGTCCAGTGAGTTAAAAAAAAAAAATTGGTAACAGATTTAAAAGAAAAAAAAAATTTTAAAATGTTCAAATGCTCTGTTGTGTTTCTGTTGCATTAGGCACAGTTTTGCAAAAAATTTCTAAAATTAGTTCATATTTTGCTTCTCTATTTTACAAAATGCTTATCCAACCTCAATTTGAAAGCAACCATTGTATGGACAATAGGCCCAGTGAGTTTAAAAAAATAATAAATAAATAAATAAAATAAAAAATAAAAGTTGGTAACACATTTAAAAGAAAAATTTTAAATAAATAAAAAATAAAGTTCAAATGCTCTATTGAATTCATCAAGAAGCAAAACGAAAGGGAATACAAAAAATATGAAAATACTTCATCAATTTGGAAGCAATCATTTCCAGTGAGTTTAAAAAAACATGGTAATAGATTAAAAAAAAAAGACAAAAAAAACAATATTTGTTGGTGTATGATGTTCTTCGTTGAGTTCATGGAGAAGAAAAATGAAAGTGAAAAAAAAAAATAAGTTCCCATAATCACAGTTCACACAATTTGTATAGAGAAATTCGGGTTTAAACCTCAATGGACACCAACAAAAGCATTTTAGCACTGATCGAAACAATGACGGATTTTGAACATACACACGATAAACAAGTAAGATCTCGTACAAGGAGAAGAAAACCCCAAAATAAATCAAGTTATGCGTACCAAAGATGCAAACACAGAACAATGTTACGAGTAAAGAATGGTCGAGGCGTTAAGGAAGCGTTGTTGGCCTGGATCGGTCGTCCGATGTTATGCAGTCTTCTCCTCCTCTCTCGTTCTTCTTCGTCGCCGTCTGCTTGGTGTGTTTCTGCAAATGGAACCCTAGCAAATACACAGAGATGTGTATTGGTGTATATGGGATAATTTGGTAATTGTACATCCTCCTCACGTGTATGAATTTTTGGTAGTTTGTGATTTTCTAGCAAACTTTTGTCCACATGTGCTTGTATAGCTTGAAAACAGTTTCCAAACTGGGGTTAAATCAAATAAATCGCACAAGTCATTGTTTTTTAATATTATTATAATTAAACTATGAAGATCGATATGTAAGGTTCATACACAAAATTCTATATGAATGATATAGTAGTGATATTTAAAAAATTATAAATAAATTTAATAAATTTTTGGAAAAATTATTTATAAATCTTATTTTGAGGAATGGTGATTCGTTTAGTCCCAATTTTTTTTTTGGCCAATTAGTCCCATTGATTTTGAAAAGATAGATTTAATATAGGGAGATTTACCAATAAATCCCAAAATGTAAACTTATGAACCAATTGGTCTCATTTTTATTCTAGTAAACCGTTTAGTCCTAGAAAATTCTAAGAGACGTAATTGCCCTCATTTAGACACCACTAATCTCTCTCAGCATTCTCTCTCTCTCACATGGAGACCCAACCACACACATATCTTCTCTCTCTAGCAGACACAAGACACCATGAACACAAAACACCATTAACACACACACCATTAACACACACACTCAGCCCCAGCAGTCACACTCATACACATCATACACACAACACACACACACACACACACAGCACACACCAAACACAACACCCACACTGATACACACGCGCACACACACACACACACTAATGGCTTCAACACGTGCACACACACACACACACACACTGATGGCTTTAACACACACACACACACATTCTCCTTCGCCGAGCACCGCCACGGCGGCGTTCCGGCCACCATCTCCGCCACCAAACACCCCAAAGCCCATACGTCCGCAGCCGCCTCCTGCTGTCCGGCCACCACTGTCTCCGGCGGCATATACATCGGCGTACCTCTCAACTCAAAACCCACGATCTTCTCTCCCGATTTACACACACAGCACACACACACAGCACACACCAAACACAGCACCCACACTGATACACACGCGCACACACACACACACACACTAATGGCTTCAACACGTGCACACACACACACACACACACTGATGGCTTTAACACACACACACACACATTCTCCTTCGCCGAGCACCGCCACGGCGGCGTTCCGGCCACCATCTCCGCCACCAAACACCCCAAAGCCCATACGTCCGCAGCCGCCTCCTGCTGTCCGGCCACCACTGTCTCCAGCGGCATATACATTGGCGTACCTCTCAACTCAAAACCCACGATCTTCTCTCCCGATTTCTTCGCCAAACCAAAATCGGCGATCTTCGCAACATCATTTTGACATAGAAGAACGTTTTGAAGCTTGAGATCACAGTGAACAAACCCATTCTCGTGAATACATTGAAGACCCTTTAGAATCGACTCTGTGTGTCGCCGGACTTCGGATTCCGGCAAGCTCCGGTGACCGGAGTTCTTGAGCTTGTCAGCCAAAGAACCACCCATAGCGTATTCTAAGAACAGATTGTACAATTTCTCGCCGTTTTCGAAGCTGAAATCTCCTCCGAAACACTCGATAATCTGTGGGCAATCTTTGAGTTGTTGTAGAATCGATTTTTCATGATCGAGCAAAGCAGAGTGTGAAGACCCACAAGTTTTCACGGCCATTAATGGAGAAAATTGAAAGCTCTGACTAATTGGGTAAAATCGTCCACACAGTTACACTAAATATGGAAAATAGGATCAGCAAAAAACAAACTTCCCCACTGATAGGACTTATCCGAACAAAAGAATAAAGTTGGGACTAATTGGTTTAATAGTTTATGAAATGGGATTTATTGGTAAATTTTCCTTTAATATATTATTTAAAAATTAGATTTACGGTTATATCTTATTTTTATTATGTTTCCTTTTTCTTTTCTTTTTTTTTTTCCTTTTCTTTTAGAAAGGTAAGATACATATCCTATGAGAATCAAATTTGGAATGGATTTTTATATGAGAATCTTTTTTATTTGGAATGACTTGAAATGTAAGATTCTTCAAACATTTCAAAATGAGTACAAAAATAATTTGAAATATGAGATTCTTTAACCATTCTAAATGGATGTGAGATTCTTCAAACATTTCAAAAGGATTACAAAAACTCCTTAGTAAACTTTGGATAAATGTATAATTTCAAAATATAACACTCAAACATAACACTCCAAAAAAACTCCTTACTTTACCTTTCGTGAATGTAACACTCCAAATAACACTCTAAAAAAAATCATTAGTATAACACTCCAATGTAATACACTAAAAAAATTTTGGTATACTTTTTTCAAATGTAATACTCCAAAAAATGAAGTGGGATTCTTTACACCATTTTAAAAGGAGTATAAAATTTCTTTAAAAATTTCTTAGTGTAACACTCTAATATAACACTAAAAAAAAATGTGGGATTCTTTAAACTATTCTAAAAGGAAGACAAAAATTCTTTAAAAACTTCTTAGTGTAACACTCCAATGTAACATACAAAAAAAATTTCTTAGTGTGCTTTTCCTAAACGTAATACTCTAAAAAAAGGATGTGAGATTCTTCAAACTATTCCAAAAAAAGTACAAAAATTTCTTAGTAAGCTTTGGGCAAAATGTAAATTTTCAAATTGTAAGTGTTGCATTTGGAAAAAATAAACTAAAGAGTTTTTTAGTATTTTTACGTGTGTTACATTGAAGTGTGCTATATTAAAGTGTTACGTTTGGAATTACATTGATTGGAGTGTTACATTTAGAAAAAATAGACTAATTTTTTTTTTTTTTTGGTTACATTGGAGTATTACGTTTGAAAAAAATACACAATTTTTTTTTAATGTGTTATATTAAAGTGTTATGTTATTGAAGAGTTATGATCTTATTCGCAATGTGGAATTTATTTCAAAAAGTGAAAAAATTCAAAACATCTATAGTATAGATTGTCTAAATATAATTTCACATTTGAAGAATTCTATTTTTATCTCTCAAAAATTAATTTTAAATATGTAAATGACTATTTTTTTATTTAATTTCTATTTCAATGAGACTTTTAAATTTTAAAAAAATATTAAATAATTTAAAAAATTATATTTTAAAATTTATTAGTGCGCCATCTTAAATTTTTTAATTCTGTTTAGTTTGATTCGTAGTGTCTTTTCTATATGTTTTGGCATAAATGATAAAGATTTTTTTTTTCTTGACCGCTACAATCCCGATAAACACATGTCAATGAATGATAAGAGAAAAAAAAAATAAAAGTAAAAAATTAACTAATCTCAATACATAGGGAGTGAGTGATGGGTCAGAGAAAAAGGAAGTCCAACCTTTTTCTATGTTTTGATTATCCAAAAAAAAAATAGTCTTAAAAAAATCAAACTAATGCATCACTCCTTACGAGAGATGGCAACAATTAGGGTTGCGCATAATACCGTCGAAACTGTCAAAACTGTCAAAATCGCACCGAACCGCACCGTCATGGCAAATTCGTTATTATTTGCCAATCGAACCGTCGGTTTTTGGTAAGAAAAATGACAAATTCTAGTGACACTTTTATCAATCCGCCGATTTCTATTTTTCTTCCAAACCGCACCGACCCGCACCGCTATTAAATCATGTTTTATAAGATTCTAAAAAAAAGTTAAGAACAAATACCCAATGCCTCGTATAGATGATTTGTTTGACTAGTTGAAGGGGTGTAGCTGTTTTTTTAAGATAGACATGAGACCGGGTTATCATCAATTGACAGTTAAAGAGGAGGGCATCCAAAAGATGACATTCTATACGCGACATGGCCACTACGAGTTCCTAGTGATGCCTTTTGGTTTAACCAACACACTGGCCAGGTTTATGGACCTAATGACTTGGATCTTCCATGAGTTCTTAGACCTCTTTGTTGTCGTCTTTGTTGTTGACATAATTTTATGTATTGTATTTGATCATTGTAGCTTCCACAGATGCTTGTAATGAACTGATGGCATAGTCGTTGATATTATCATGTTGTTGCTACACTTGCTGCATCAGAAGAAAGTTTCGCAAGATGCTTAACATCACGGTATGTCTCGTCTTTTTTTACTCTTTGATTTAAGTTTTGTAATTTGAATTATATTTTTTATAAACCGCCAATCCGTCCGAACCGCCAAGGCAAATCTACCATTATTTGTCAACCGAACCGCCGGTTTTTAATAAAAAAAATGGTAAATTCTAGTGACACTTTTATCAATCCACTACCCGTCATACGATTTCTATTTTTCTCTCAAACCGCACCGACCCACACCGCGCACAACCCTAGCAACAACGACAGAATCGTCTAAAAAAAAATCAAACTAACCCATCACTCCTTACTAGAGATGGCAACAACGACCGAGGAATCTCCTCCATTCACACAGTCCACTCATCCCCTATCAATTTTTTTTCTCGGTATATATCGTTAAGGATTGTATGAAATAATTTAAATGAAGATGAATTATAAATATATTTTTTGAGATTTATTTTAATTATAAATTATTTTTTATAATTTTAAAATTATATTATGCCTTCTAAGATTTATAATTTCATAATAAATAGGTTATTTTATTAATAAATTATCAAGTTAATTAATAATTTTTAATAAAATTAAAATTTTATTTCAATTAATAATTCAAATAATTTTATTATTGTATAGGTGAACAGTTACAAATTTTACTTTTTCAATTAATTATATTAAATAAAATTTTTTGATAGGAAAGTATTTGTAATTTTCCAAAACACATGGAGCAATTCATGTTTTAAGCAAATCTCAGGGATGTATTTGTAATTTACCCTTCAAATAAATATATTTTTTAATTTTTTATAAAAAATATATAAAAAATAAAATTGTGATAAAATTTAAATAAATACATTTATTTAGGGATTAGGGGTCACTGCATTGCGGCTTGCATAAAAGTGACTGTTGTGCGGCTCATTAAAATTATTTTGGGTTTTATTTTCATCATTCGAACCATTTAGTTTTTAAAAAACATTGAGTAGAACATATTTATAAAAAATCAAATTGATCGGATATCGATAGAATCTTTGTCAACTTGAATTTGTATATATAAAAAAATAAATATATAAGTATTAAATTAAATACAAATGTAAGTTGATGAAGGATCGATTGATATTCAATAAATTTGATTTTTTACAAATATATTTTATTCGATATTCTTTAAAAATTAAACTCTTTACATAATAAAAAGAAAATTTAAAATCATTCTCATAAATCACACAACAATCATTGTTGTGCACACCTTTATTATTTAGTTTATGCGAAATAATTAATAACATAAAATTTCTAAGTTGGAGGGATGGTTGCGGCGCTACTACAAAATGGGTGGGACCCAATGCTGCTACGGGGTGCTTCCGTGCGCGTCGTTCGAACGCGATTGGTGTTTTTGATTTGTAGTTTGAGATAAAGTTTTTAAAAAAAAAATTAAAGAAAAAGTTTAAATTTTTTTTAATTTGTTAGTTGTATATTTTGAAAATAGTTTTGGAGTTTGAAAATTTGAAATAATTTTATATTTTATTGTAATTTAATAAATGTATGTGAGGAAAAAGTGATTAAAAATTAGAGAATAAAGAGAAAAGTGATTGATTAATGTGTAGGAGAGATATTTTGAAAAAAAAATTAAAAAATTTGAACCAAACAAAATTTTTAATTTTTTTTCTCAAAAATTATATCTTAAGATATAAACCAGACAAGCCCGATATAATTGCACGGTAAAATTGTTATCCCGCTATTTATAGTTTCTCTCGTTATATAAACCAAACCAAACCAAACCAAACCAAGCCTTAAGTCCCATCAAATGGGGTCGGCTACATGAATAATTCTTCTCCACGCGGCCCTATCAAAGGCCATTTCATTAGTCAAATTAAGTAGATTCATATCTCTATTTAAAACGCTAGTCAACGTTAATCTAGGTCTACCCCGTCCCCTAACACTTCCATCTACCGTTACAGCATCGTATCTCTTCACTATTGCCTCTGTTGGTCTCCGTTGAATATGACCAAACCATCTCAAACGATTCTCTCTCAACTTATCTTCTATCAGTGCTACTCCTACCCATTCCCGAATACACTCATTCCTAATCCTGTCCTGTCTAGTCTTACCACACATCCACCTTAGCATCCTCATCTCAGCCACACTCATCTTATCTACATGTTGTTTCTTTTTTTATTGGGGAAAAAAAAAAAGAGGAGTGTGACGTGCGTTTTGATTTATTCAAAGACTCTATTCACAATAAGAAGGTTGGCTCTCAAATTCCTAAATCCTCACTGATATTTGAATTCGACTTTATTGGTGAGCTGAAGTTGTTGAAAATGGCCACCCATCCTCTACACCGTTTTCGCATCATTTTGTCTCTGACATTTTGTTGCTGACGACCAAAACACTTTTTCACTGCTGATGACCAAAACACTTTTTCGCTAAGAACATTCACATCGACCTCGCTGATCACTCCATGTAGTTAAAAATGGGTGCCAAACGTAAATCGATTCGAATTATTGTTTTGTATTATGTTGAAATTCTAGTTGTCAAATTTGCAATGGCTTATAAATACCGAATGTGAATTTGTGTTAACTCCTTCTCTAGTCTCATCCACTAGCACAATATCGTCTGCAAAAAGTATGCACCATGGCACGTCATCCTGAATATTTATCGTCAACACGTCCATAACTGAAACAAAAAGATAAGGACTTAAGGTAGATCCTTGGTGTAACCCTACAGTGATAGGAAATTCATTT